CAGCCTTGTTAACGATCGAACACCAGGGCTCCTGGCTCCAGAGGCAAGCTGGTGAGAACTCAAGTTTGCACGCTGCCTCCTAGGTGGGTATTTGGATACACCTCTCCATCCCTGATCAGAAAAGCTTCAAGTGCAGCCTGCAGTCTGCTGCGTGCAAGAGCGCACACACAGACACACTTACACAGAGATGGGCGAGACTGGGAATGGGGCATACTCTGGTTCTATTTCCAGAAACCAGTTTCTCCAATCAGGGAAAGGTTTGCCTCAAAACCTCGGAAGCCCTTTGTGTTTACGATTTGGCCATGCTGAAGGAATGGCTCTTGGACTCCTGATTGGACATTAATAACTGATGAATTCAGGATGCTCATTTAATCTGGGACCACAGAGAGAGGGCTGTGTGGACACATGCAGATCCCAGCTTCCTGGACAGAATAGTCTTTTCCTTATTCATTTGCTTCTCATTTTCCACAGTCGTTCCAAATGTGCTACACACGACATACTCTGGGTCCTGAATTTGCAACTGCTGCAGCTTCGAAGGAAAAGAAAGCATTGCTGACTGTAATCCACAGTGAGATTCTGAGCATCCAGCTACGTGTTCACGTTTAAATCCTTAGCGTGCTCCCCTGAAAACAAGCGCTTCCATCTGGGAGTACCCTTTGCTCTTGAGGTTTTTAGGAAATAGAAACCTGAGTAATTCAAGGGTATTTTCAGGCCCATGAAAAGAGGTAACAGCCTGGCTAGGACTGGACGTCCAAGTTCCAGATTCTTGGCTGTGCTATTGTCCTATTATCAAGAACATGTAGCAGGTTTTTTTTGTTTGTTTGTTTGTTTGTTTTTTGGGGGGGTAGATTTTTGCCATAGGGCACATGCACTCATGCACTCACTGGAGAGAGATGGAGAGAGAGAGAAAGTGAGAAATCACCCACCACCACCACCCCCAGGAAGGATGGTCATGCCACAATCCATTCTTCTCCATTCTCCTCTTGGGATTTTGAGCACACATGTGCCCAGTGTCTTTCAAGCCAGAACTTGAACCAGAGTTGGCCATGTGGAACCCAGCACCTTAATCATTAAGTCACCTGCTGGCCATGGAAGGCTCTGTTTAAAACCCACTTAGTTCAGTGATTCTCAAATTTAAGTGGGCATATAATGAATGGGAGGACTTGTTACAAGCCAGGCTGCTGGGCCCTGCCCAGGTATGTGGAGGAAAAGCCTGAGAATTTGCATTTCTCACAAATTTGCAGAGATGCTGGTGATGCAGCTGGTGGGAGCCTGCACCTTGGGAACATCGCATTACTCCAGCCAGAGAGAGTTCTTCTGCTCTCTCCAAGTAAACATCACTTAGTATCTTTTAGAGAAGGTCTCTGCTATTTAGAGCTTCCTGTTTTATATTTTTTCCTCTTTCTTTCCTGATATGTGCCCAAATTCCAGTTTAGAAACTATTTTTTAAATGTTGAGACTCAATGGAGAATGCAGCTTGACTAAGTAAATTTGAATGTGTACTGCAGTACTCAATATGGATTTTTCCAAAATGTGAGCACTTAAGCTAGACAAAAATATTTCCCCTGGGTTCAGCCTTTCTACGCAGACCAGCTCCTGGTTTCCAAGGAACCATCTGCAATAAAATACAGTCCAGTACGGAGCTGCAGAAGCACCTGATGTCCTTCCTCTCTAAGTGTAGAGCACACACCTCCAGCCAGTAATTCAACCAACACTGTTTGGTCATTTACAGGCTCAAGACATGTCTTGTCATTACTTCATTTTGAGGTTTTCTCAGGACAGAAGGGCTTATTTTTCCAAAGGAAAGTGCTTTTGGTTTGCCAAATAGAAAAAAATTAGAAGCTCATACGTCAGTATGTACTCAATGCAAAGGTCTTCCGTGTGTGTGTATGTGTGTGGGTGTATGGGGGTGTGTAGGGGTGACATTTAATTCATTGGAAGGCCAGCTTTTACAATGCCTGGCTACTGATATGACCAAGCACACAAGATTATTGTTATTCAGAAAAGCAAATGCCAGGTTGGGGAGCTCTTAATCTGGTGGTTTGTGCCTTGCAAATAATTAGGGGCATTGAGAAGGCTGTGGGAATCCTACAGAGAACATCAAATGGCTCTGTTTTAATGACTAATATAATATGTCAGATCACAATATTTTTCTGTTAGTATTTCAATATATTCTTCCCGTTATTTACAGTACTTAATCACATATCAAGATGCAAGGTTTGCTTTATTTTTTTTTTAATTTGCCAGAGGGGCATGCACTCTCCAGAGAGAGAGAGGGAGGTGAAAAGTCACTCCTCAATGGGGTATAGTGATGCCACAAATCTTTTTCCATTTCTCCATCCTGCTGAGATTTTGGGCACAGACACGCATGCACCTGGCATGTCTTTCAAGCATCGGCTGGGATTTGAACTGTGCTGCTGGCTCTGTGGGATCTGATTCCTTTAACCACTAGGCCATGGGGCCACCCCTCCCCCACCATTTTTAATATAGAGAATTAACATCGTGGCCAGAACTGAGAAAACAGACGAAGATATTCAGAAGGCTGGGGATAGAGCTGCAGTGAGGATCCCTCAGCTGGGATGTCCACGGTGCTGGCTGGTCCGTGGCTGTACCCCTTTACGCACCACATTACGCACCACAGCAGCCGTGAGGCCACGAGTTCACCACCCCCCAGTTAGTTCAACGTAACTAACAGGGCCGCATGCCCATTTCCCATCTCCCTGCACCAACCAACAAACCTTTAAAACTCACAACTAAAAGAATGGCCCAGGTGCCATCAAACACTGATGCTGCCGGCCAAAATTTGAGTAGGGTCAAACCCATGGATGGCTGTAGGCTACATTGCTTCGCCTGCATTTATGTATATACCTTGTTTCTTATCCCGATTATCAACATTCTTTGTTTCATAATGGCTTATCAAACTATGCAAGCCACTTCCACTTTTACCAACTTAAAGAACAGCTGGATATTGGACCATGATGAAGACAGGTATATGTTACATTCAGCTTAAGCCTGAAGGCTGCCCATGCTGGCCAAAGAGAGGGTAGGTCGGAAGCCTTCTGTTGCAGTTTGAATGCTCTCTGATGTTTGATCCAGAGTCTAGAATCCACCTAATACAATGAGGGCCAACTGAATGCCATTCGAATGTTTAGTTCAGGTTCTCACTCAGAGCTACCATATTTTTCATGTTAGTACCTCTAATAAAGAGACTTCATATACACAGTGAATGAGCAGAGGTGTATCAATAGGGTGAAAAAGGACTGATCAGAAGAGAGACCCGCATTATTTCCAGGCATCTTAACGATTAAACAGGCTTAACTGTCTCTCCAGTGAATGTCACACAAACGGGTTACTCCCGGTAACTCCACTCTGGCTGATCTGGTAGATGCCTGTTTTTAACTCATTGTTTCTCTGATCTCAGCTTCTAATGAAAACCTTCAGTCCTGTTTACCAAACTCTTTTCAACTTCAAGCAATTTGAATGTCACATTTAATTCTCCCTTTTTTTTTTTTTTGAGAGGTTTTCGCTATAGGGTGCGTGCGCTCGCCAGACAGACAGAGACAGAGAGACAGAACGCGAGAAATCACCCCCCAGGGGGGATGGCCACGCCGCAATCCCTTCTCCTCCATTCTCCTCTCGGGATCTTGGGCACACGCACGCGCGCCCAGCGTGAGTTTTAAGCCACCGGGTCCCGGGACGCGAACTGCAGTCGACTACATGGGAGTCCAGCGACATAGCCATTATGCTAACTGCTGGTTCCAAATTCTCACTTCTTTTTAGGCAACCCTTTCCAAAGTATTTCAGTCTTCCTTGACTGAAAACTGGCCAAGCCCGAAGTTTACCGAAGTTCTGATTCCATGGCTGGGCTGCTGTGACTGGCAGTCAAGGGGCTTTTCTTAGAGTTTAGAGGACTTTGCAAGTTCACGGGAGAGATTAGAGTAATGCAGCTCATTCGATCTGTTCTCCCAGATACACAACACAAGTCAATGTTTGTTATGACTTTCCAGATCCTTATTTATAAGACAATACAAGAGGAAACCATGTGTGTGTGTTTGAAATAGAAATGATACATTGCACAGATACGGTTCACCACGTTCTGGGATGGGATGTCAGTGTTCAAATGGGGAGTCTGAAGAGTAGGAACAGATGCTTTCTTTCCTTAATGGCCCTTTCTCTAATTTAAAACCCTTCCATTTACTTTCCTAAGATTTAGTGATAACTTTAAACACTTTAACTAAATTACCCAGTGGCTTAGCAACCATCACAGAGGTAAACCTTTCTAAAGATCCTAGCAATCTGTTAGATCATGGGTCCTGTGATGTAAAATCCATGTGCTCCACGTACAGAAATTAAATCAGCACAATGGATACAAATGCATATTGCAAATGGCACCACTTCCGAGCTGAGGGTACATGACCTGTTTCCAAAGATTGAATTTCTATATTTTTTTAAGTCATTGACTTTCTAAATTTGGTCCAATTTATTCTCATTATCATGAAGTAAACCTATTTTGATTTTTTTAACATTTATTTTATAATCAAATAGAGCCCGTCAGTCAATTCATAGATCCCGATGTTACTAGAAATGTGATTTGGTACTTGGTGAAAGTATATCACTCTGAAGGGAAAAACTTGCAAGTGTCCTAGAAAAGGACATTCCTGTCTTCCACCGTGGAAGACAGGCCCAATCCTTGAGCTTCTCAGAAGCTCACAGACTGCAGGATTGGACTCCCCATGCTTTGAAAGAAGCATCCTCTCTGGAGGGCTGTTCAATTGCTACAATTAGTAAGGTTAGTCTTAAAGCAAGGAACACACGTATTTATCATAAAACACGCTTTCATGTTTGTTTTACAGTGAAGAGAAAAAACCCAGAACCCCCAGACTTTATGTACTTTGAAAATATATTTAAAAACATTAAAAATTCTATATTTAAAACATATATTATATGTTAATTAGTCCACTTAAATAGAACTTGTATTTACAATAGGCTTCTGATGCGGTTAAGTTTTAATGCCAATTTTTTTCAATAACATAATTATATAAATATACTAAAATACAATAAATATTTTTTTGTTTGTTTTACATGGTGAATAATATCTTTACCATTGAGAGAACAAGGCCACAGACATTTACTTACACTTTCAATGGGAATCACCATAAAAAAGCAACAGTCCTGCTGCCATGCACGAAACACTTCTGCCACAAAGAGACCACAGCAAGACTTCAGAAAACAAAACAGAACAGAACAAGAATGAACGGCAACAGAGAGAGATTGTAACACAATAAAGCTTAGGTCAACGCGAACCACCAAGCACGGGACCGTGATGTAACTTTTTGGGTAAGATCAAGTCACCAACCACACACTGCTGAAAGTCTCCTATGAAGCCACTTACAGCTCTGGCCCTGGACAATATTTTGAGATTGTGATGAGGACTTTGTTGTTTAATTTTGTCCCTCAAAAGGAGGCTGGAAAAAAAAATGAATGAATAACAGATATTCCAAGTATTCCTTACATGTTGAAAATAATGACCAAGATAGTATTTTCAAACAGGATAAAGCCAACCTATGCTATGTAAAGTCTGCCTTCTTTTAAAGACAGGTATTTGGATGGTACTGTAAAACAGGCTAGTTCTACATTAAAAACTCAATAAATAGAAGTTATTTGCTGATGGTGTCTTCATTCCCTGGGTCAGAGTGGATATCCTTTTGCTAACCCTTCACCCTACTAAGACCCAGCAATTGTCTGTAGCCTTCTAAGGCACAGGGACACCAGTCCAGGTGGTGACCCCTAACACTTTCAGGTTTGGAAGTGGTTTGAATGGATGAATGGACTTAGCACGAATCTTCATTGGGGTCCATTTTTCCCAGGGCCACTATTCCAGGCTCTCAAGTTGACTTCTTCTAACCTGAAATGGCAGAGGTGAGGCCGAGATCTCTCCATGGACAGGCAGGAGAGGCAGGAGGCTGCTATGGCCTTCACTGGGGAGCGAAATCTGTCAGCTCTGTCCTGACCTATTCTATCGAGCAAGGCACCATCCAGCCTTGGTGCCTTGGATGTCTGGACACTTTGGAAGTCTCATCTCTGCATGAGATTTTCTATCAGTAGCCTTGGTCCTTTGGCCTGAGTTCTGGGGTCTTTTTCTGTTTCCTTTCCCCTTACCAAAAGATAAAACCCTGGTTTCCTCCAATCTAGTTTCAAAGCAGTAAGTGTTCGTATAGCAAACATCGTCTATCTCACTGCATCAATCTCATGATCCCAGATGCCACATTTGGCTCCAAACCTGCTCCGGGCTCATCCAACTTTATGCAAAATTATCCAGGGGTAGGATGGAGGGCATAAGTCAGCTTGAGTGTGGTCCTCCAGGTGAGAACCTCTTGAGCAGTTAGATAATGTAGGCACTTTAAAGCATGAAGTCCAAGCAACTTGACACGTGTCATTCTAGAGCCTCTTCCGAAGGCTCCTTCAGAGGCTTTCCTTGTGGAATGTCTCAAGTACTATTCCCCACCTCCACCTCGACCTTCGATGGCCACTCAGAAATTCCTCCTGCCCTGATGGGGAATTATGTCAGCTCCACATGGCTGTTCACTCTCATTCATGGGCGGTGCGGGTCCTGCTCCAACCCAGGCGTTTCTGGACTCAGATGGAATGCTAGTTTTTGCTTGCAAGACATTTGTAAGCCTTATCAAGATTTTAAGCCTTATCATAATTTACCCAAGTGTTTATCCCTCATTAAAAACAAAAAAAAAACTTTACTTTTGATTTCTTTTTTGTTGTTCTTTTTCTCTTAAATAAAAGAAAAAAAAAGGATAATCACTGCTCTTCACGCCTACATGAGTGCCATGATCTGCTTCCTCCCTCAGAGCAGTGGTAAATTTCTCAGAGCACGCCACTGATTTTTCTTCCTTAAGATAAAACAAAACAAAGAGAGGGCCAAAGGGGGAGAAGGGGAAAGAATGTGCTGGAAGCCAATGTGGGTCTTTCCAGCAGAGAAACTCTACCCTGGCCAGTGCCCACAGGGTGAGCAGCAGCCTGGGAGGTGCACAGGGAGTGGAGTGTGAGCGTTTGGTTCAGTTGCCTTCCTTTTTCCTTTAACTTTTCAGTCAGCTAATGATGTCATAGACAACTGTACGTCATCCACATGTATCTCTTACCAAACAGAATCTATATTGAAAGAATTCTTTCCCCATCCCTACTCCCTATGGGAACTAAAAAACAAAACAAAACAAAAAACCAACAAAAACAAACAAATGAAAAAAACACAAAACAAACAAAAATATATCCCTCCCATCCCCCATCCCCTAAGCCTTTAAGTAAAGCAATGACAACGGCACCTTGACATTGTTTTAATTCCAACGCTATCAGAAGTTAAAAGCAGTAAAACAGATAAAGTACTAACAAGAACGAAGATACGTACTGTCTAAAATGGAAACGGAATGTTTTGGTTCAAATTTTTGTTGTGTTTTCTTTTTTGTTGTTTCATCTGTTTCTGAAAGAGGACAGTTTATTTATCAATTCACAATTAAAGCAGCATGCAATTTATTATTATTTTTTTTAAACTTTTTATGTTTTCAATTCTTGGCAACGGCAACAAACCACAACATTATCGAGGAATGTAATGCAGACTTTGTAAAGTTGTGCGCAAATGACTGTTTCCCTTCTGGTCATGGATATGTCCAATAAATAGATTGTAGAACCACTGTACTGTATAAACTTCATTTATACATGCAGTTCATAAAATTATTTTTTCTTAACTGAATAATTTACCCTGTTATGTATATATACAAATAGATAAATTTTGTCTCCATATAATCTATACAACATAAATCCACTATCTTCCCCTTTTAATGGTCAATGTACATACACAGGAAGTGTCTATCCTTATGAACCGCCAGCCAATTCGCTTTTTGCTATCCATGGTGAGCGCCCGCACGTACGACTGGGTAGTTCGGCACTGGGAGTTCCAATGCCTTTTGTCTATGCCCCGGCAGCCTTCTTTAGTGTAACCCATGGGATTGCATTTGGTCTCGTAGAAGTATTGCTTCAGTTGGCCTTTCGACACGGGGACTTTTTCGAGGACCGTGACTGTCCCGCCTGACATGTCCACGGCCGTCTTTTTATCTGCCGCTGTTACCCACTCGCTAATACTGTCACACACGCTCAGCTCCCCACGGCGCGCGGGGTCTGAGTGGCGCCGGACCCTCATGGACATGTTGGCGGCATCCAGGTAATTTTTGTATTCCTCGAGCAGGAAGAGAAGAGGAGGCTCCAAAGGCACTTGCCCACTGAGCATCACCCTGGAAGTGTACAAGTCCGCGTCCTTATTGTTCTCCTCGCTGGGCCGGACTTTCTGGTCCTCATCCAACAGCTCTTCTATCACGTGTTCAAAAGTGTCAGCCAATGACGTCAGGCCTCTCGCACCTGCCTGGGGCCCATTCACGCTCTCCAGAGTCCCATGGGTCCGCACAGCTGGGTAGGCCATGCTGCCTAGTCCTTGGGCGTTTGCTTCTTTCATGGGGGCAGCCTTCATGCAACCGAAGTATGAAATAACCATAGTAAGGAAAAGGATGGTCATCACTCTTCTCACCTGGTGGAACTGTGGGCAGAAAGCAGAAACAAGACGCGAGACTGGTTAGGGCTTTCTTTCACAGGAAAACCAAGTGGCCCATCTGATTGTAATTCCAGGCCATTCCGCAGGGTCAAGGTTTCCTACGTCTTGGTGATAAACTCCAGCTGCACCAGACACAAATCAATGTCAGGAGTGTGCTAGATGTGGTTTAATACAAACCAGAGACAGGCAATGTTTGCCCCAAGATTTAGCATAGAAACCTAGATTAGATGGCTTCTAAGCAAGTGGGGAGAAATGTGGCTTCACATTCTCCTCCTTCCTCCCACTTTAGCAGCTTTGTAAGTTTAATATTTAATGATCTCTGCTCAGGCTGTCACAAGAAACACAAATCAGAAATGTTACTAAGCAACAACTGCAAGTGTAATCGTAATTTTTTTTTTTTTTCCAAGTTAGCAACCTGGTCCTTTGCGGGAATGTGTGACAGGAACAGGGGTGGCCTGGGGAATCTGATGGGCCTTTCTAGCTTTGTGATGTCCAGGCATGAATAGCACAGTGGCTGTGGCCATTGTGGCTACCAGGGACCTTGACATGGACTTTTTTCCCCCTGTAGAGATCATCTATTATGACGGAGAAGCAGGACATCTCACCTAGCCATCCTGTTGTGCAGATCAGAAAACCCCAGGCCATGGGGAACTTGCCTCCAGTCACAAAGAAAGCTAATATTGTAACTCGGGGCTCCCCAACTCCAGTGTTTCTTCTGCCACACCTGGGTGGTCATAACCGAAAATGGTTTGCTTATTTCTAAACAGAATTCATCTTCTACATGTTCATTTTAATGATGTGTCTGTGCCTGGGGCTGGTATCATGAAAACAATGTGTCTGCTTAAGAGAAAACTGGCAAAGTCAGCATGAAAAAGACATTGAAGTCGATCTCAAATGCCTCCCATATGCGGGCTCTGGGTTAATCTTCGCCTGCTCTCTGAAGCCCCTCACCCCTTGGCTTTTCTGGCTAGACAGATCTAGCTAAGAGAGGTCAACCTCTTTTTGCTGGACATGTGGTCATGGCTCTGTGTGTGTGTGTGTGTGTGTGTGTGTGTGTGTGTGAACTCGAGGTTTATCATACCTTTAAAAAGCTCAGTGGTATTTTATACATTTTGGAATAGGCTACTCACGCTTCTTTCTGTGCTTTTGAAGTTTCCTGGGAAGTCCCTTAACAGCACACCACAAAATTAATCTCTGTGTGTGTGTGTGTGTGAACTCGAGGTTTATCATACCTTTAAAAAGCTCAGTGGTATTTTATACATTTTGGAATAGGCTACTCACGCTTCTTTCTGTGCTTTTGAAGTTTCCTGGGAAGTCCCTTAACAGCACACCACAAAATTAATCTCTTCCTGTTTGCTAGAGGGTGGTTGTACTCTAAACCTGGCTCTACATCTGCAAGCATGCTCCAGGAAGTCAATTCAAATGAACAAGCAGAAGGAAAACATACCTACGGACCAACCCAAGGTTACCGTCGGGTGGTGGAGGACTTGAATCACTTACCTGAAGCACTGTGTCCCTTAGTGGTGGAGTGACATCTCAGCCCTGACACTAACTTTATTCTTACTTCTCAGTGCTGGGGCACAGACTTACAGAAAGACACACACACCCCACAGTCATGATGCTGTGCAAATTAGTAGGTAACGGGACTGTGTTTCTACCACGCAGTGCTGTTGAACACAGAAGCAACCTACCTCTAGGCGAAAGCTCAGAGTACAGAAGTGGCTGAAAATTCTGGTACTGAGAATCAAATGTTTCTATTCTCCACTTTTGTAGGAGGTAACACTAAGATTTTATCACCGCCCCTAATCACAAATTTCTTTTAGATTTCCTCTCACATTGCATGAAGAGCAAGCATACTCAGAACTGCCTGGATGACACGATGGCCTGAGATTAGGCAGGACAAATTGGTTTGAATAAAGAACAGATGTCCCTTCTGCTAATATCTAAACCTTTGTGAATGTTCTGGATCGTGTACCATCAAAGAAATGGATTCTCTAAGGAGGTTTCTATTCCTGGCAAACGGTACTTACACCATAGAATGAAAATCCTTTCTCCAAATAGTCTCAGTTTGAATTAAAACAACCCAAGGGAGACCTCATATTTAGGTCAATGAAGAAACCAAATTTAGAATATTTTACTCTAGCTTTTATATCACACCAGTAGGGGCTTGCTGTGATCGACTCTCTGTTAATACCATATGTCATCAAATCTAAAATACCACTATTATAACTACCCTGTTTTATGTACAGCAAATAAAAATTCAGCCATATTATTGTTTAGAACTCTCACTGTGTACATACTGAAAAAGTTCTTTCAAACTTATTTGGACACAATTTATCACCTATAACTTCCGTGTGTGTGTACAAAAACATTGGTTATGCAATGACAACTACATAGTGCCTTCTACATAGCCAACAAAAAATAAGATGATATCAATGGTAAGATATGAGCCTGTTTGCACAGACCCTGCAGCCTAATGGTTAAGGAAGCTGGATCTTAATGGCCAACTGCAGTTTGAATCTTCACTCTGGGAGGTCTGAAAAGCATGCCAGGTACATGCATGTGAGCGCCCCAAATTCCAACAGGATGGAATATGGAGAAGGGATTGTGGCATGACCATACCCCACTGGGGAGTACCTTTCCCCCGCCTTCACCCCCACCCTGCCTCTCTCTGGCAAGTGCACGTACACTCCAGCAACTAATAAAAAAATGATAGAAGGCAGTCTGAAAACTCAAAATATGAAGAATTAATTAAACATAATAAATGTCCAAACTGACTATTTAAAGTGGTCCAGGGTACTGAGGCATCTTAAGCTACAGAGATGGAAAATTGTTGTTATCATTACTACAACAATGTTTTTTTTTTCTCATTTTAATTATTTATTTTAGTTTTTGTTTGTTCCTTATAGGACACATGTACTTGCTAGAGAAAGACAGAGAAAGGGAAAGTGAGAAATCACCTCCCAGGGGAGATGGTCACACCACAATCTCTTTTCCAATCTCCAGGGATTTTAGGTGCACACTTGCCCTGTACGATTTTCAATCTGCCCAGTCTGGGACTCACACTGCTGCTGACCATGTGGGAGTACAGCACTTTAACCACCAAGCCATCTGCTGGCCCCTACTGATGAGTCTCTTAATGATACCTTTTTCTTTTTCTATATTTGCCAGAGGGCACATGTGCTCACAGGAGAGAAAGAAGAGAGAGAAAGAGAAAGCAAGAAAGCAGCCCCCACAGGAATGGTCACACTACAATTCTTTCTCTATTCCTCCCTTCTTTTGGGATTTGGGGCACGTGTGCCCAGCATGATTCTAAAGCCACTGGGTCTGGGACTTGAACTACATGGTTGGGCCTGTGGGATCCAGTCACCTTCACCACCATGCAATATGCTGGACCAGTGATACTTTTTTCTATACCTGGCTTGAAGAAGTTTACCCTGCCTTTCACTGGTCTCATTCATCTTTTCAGTAATAACAGACATGCAGCTAAGATATAATGGTAGACATGACCCAAGAAAGGTATGAATGAAACTCTTTAAAGAGAAAGAGGTTGCTTTCAGTTAGATAATGAAGGAATACACGGGAAAGAAGACTGCAGAGAATCTGAACATACGAGAAAAGACAAGTGTGGCAAGGTGGCAACCCGACTAATGGCATAGAGGTAGGAGAAACTGAGTAAATGTCTAGAGAGAAGAGTTCTGGGAGAAGAATAACGAGAAATGGGATCGGATGATTGCCACGTTCTGTTTGCAAGGTTCTTAGGGTGAAGCTAAAGGGTCTGGACGTTGTATTATAGGCATCAAAGAGCCAATGAGAATTTCTGAAATGCTGGAAGAAAACCAGTGTATCACCACATACAGGACTGCTTGAAAGAATAATGGGGTAGAAGGGACCAGCCCCGTGGCCTAGGGCTTAGAGAGCTAGACTCCACCCTGCTGACCATATTGTTGAATCCTGGCCCTGGCAACTTGAAAAACACTCCAGGCGCACATGTGCGTGCCTCAAATGCCAACAAAAGTGATAAATGGAGGAGAAGGAATTGTGGCATGGCCATGCCCCTCCCGGGGGTGTGGGGTGCTTTCTCCTCCTCTCTCTGCCTCTCTCTAATGAGTGTATGTGCTCTCTGACAAATATGAAAAAAAGTAGAAGAAATATTAATTAACTGATTTTTATTACTAGTGCCTACTGAGTTTTAAAAACAAGTATTAGGGGGACCAGCAGATGGTGTAATAGCACTACTGGTGAACTCTCACATGGTCGACTATGCTTTGAGTCCCAGTCTCAGCAGCTTAAAAACTCACACCAGGTATGTGTGTATGCATGCCCCAAATCCCAAAAGGAGAATGGAGGAGAAGGAATTTCAGTGTGGCCATCTCCCCTATAGAGTGACTTCTCACTTTCTGTCTCTCTGTCTCTCCAGCGAGCGCATGCGCCCTATAGCAAAAAATCTCTCTAAAATAAATAAACAAATATTAGGTATGAGTGTGGGGTTAAAGGCCTGGATGTTTATTTATTTACTGGCTGAAATGAGTTGCAGAAATTACTGGCTGAAATGAGTTGCAGAAAGAAAAACAGCTACAGAAACGTGTGCAGAACTAAGTAGTAACCACTGATAACACCTGGGGTAGCAGAAAGAACAGGAAGGAGATGGGGAGGGAGGGGGACTGCCAACTTTCGTCTCATTATAATTACACTGAACTTTGATTCTACTGTTCAGCACTTTTAATTCAAAGATCTCCATACACTTTGCAAATATTAAGTAATTAAGACTCATCGGACCCTGGAGGTGCAGGTAACTGTAATTATTCCCATTTCACACAGGAAGTAAGAGGAAGAGTTTTAATCAACTCATCCACTCACTGTGGTTCCCCTGATAGAATAAGGTCAGAACCCCAGATTCCAAAAGAAACGAAGCCTTACACCACAGGGATCATCAGTTTGTTCCATCTCCCTACATTATTTCTGCATCATTTCCCCATTATATA